TTGGCCCATGGTCAGTACGTTACGAATCAAAGGCGCATCTCTCAAGTAACCTTCCCTGGCTTATATGTTTGAATACTGATGAACAATTAAGTTAATTTATTGCATGTTTCGCCGTAAATACAACAACATTGCCTTCCAATTTGATGTTATTGTGACATTAAAAAGAAAATTAAAATGACCCCATTTTATGCTCAGACTATTTGATTATGTAAAATTATAAATGTGTGATTTATTCATTTGGCTCGTATTTCGTAACTATTTCGAAGCAATGTAATGTATCTTGGATTCTCACTGGCCCCGTCTTTATATAAAACAAAGATTTACACGACCTGTTTCCTTTATTCGAATGGTGAATTAGTTTGTTTGATCTAGACTTCAGGTCTGTAAGCGTCGTCAGAGTTCCCCATTTTGTATTCAAATCTTCCTAGCTCAGGGCCTCCATCAACAGATAGAACTGCCTTTCGGTCTCAGAGGTATAGACGAGATAACATCCCTGACCAATTCTTGAGCTTACGGGTATAGCCCTGGTACAATGTATCTTTGCTTGGTATAACTCCCAGAGGGTAGACCCGCGGTGCCTTAAGAATTAAACCTGGGCAAGCTTCCTGGATCTCCCTGTTGTTGCAGACCGTCCTCCACTTAATTCCCCTGATACGGGATGTATTTGCTTTTGCCCACTGATAAGCAAATTGTAATGTTGAAAAAAAAAATGCATATGAAATGCAGGCGGTGGGATGTTGGCTTTCGTACCAAAAGCTTGTGAGTTCGTACCAAAAGCTTGTTTCAATCTTTTAAACGATAATATAGGTTTTATCTTCAATTTAAACATATTAACACCCAATTTAGCTTCACTTTCTCTCTTACTCCGGCGACTGTTGTCGGACATAGTGATGGCTCTTCAAGATCGTCTTTCTGTCAAGCAACTATGAATTTCCCTTGGTTGTAGCTGAATCATGGTGTCTTGGCACAGTGTATCAACATATTATGTGGTCATTGGTCGTCCCACGGTTCGCTTCCCTTGGATTGGCTGCCAGAGAATCAAGCTGGCCACTGGTTGGTTACTGGATCGCCTGCAACACTTTCAACAGTTGTCTCAAGGAATTTGACTTAAACTACTCTTGACAGGCTGAATTGCCATATTTTCGTTTTTTATTAGCTTCAAGTCATCCATTTTAGCGCGAATTTGAATACAGTTTAAGATCACCGTTGAATTAACTAAAAGTAACATTCAGTTTAGTTTTTCGAGCACGCGACTGGTAAAATGCGGCAATCAAATGTACGCTCATTCAAATTGAAAATATCCGCGAAGAGCATTCAAATTCGTCCGAGCCTTGAGGCAAGAACATGTGGTCAAATGAATTCATCAATGGATAGGCCTAAACATGTTCGACATTTTGGCATTGGAATTAAAATACACCATTTAGAGCCTAAACCCTTTTTGGAGAACGTTCATAGAAAATCAATAAGAAATATATATGTATAATTCCAAGAAGATATCTGAAAGTAATTAAAATACGGATCATAATTAAAATACAGATAAAGAAAAAATATATAGTTTGTAACGATTTCAAGACGCTGATATACAGGTTAGAGAAGGAATATTGAGCAATGCTGAAAGAACAGATGAAGAAGAAAATAATGAACATTTAAAAAGGAAACTAAAAATGAAAAGTGCAGTTGTCCTGATGAAAGCCTTTCTTTTCGTCGTTACTGTTGCCTACTTCTGATGTCCATTTGACGTAAATGAAAAGAAAAGTAAGAATCGAAGGGAAAAACTTCATTAAATCAAGGTGTACCAAAATGAATGACGATTGGGTGCTATTTAACTGAATGACGCAATTTTTAATTTGGATGTGTTGGCAAACAAATTTGAATGTCCATTAACAAAATTGAACGCCATAAAAATGAATAAGAACCAAAGAATTAGCAGCATGATCAAATTCACTTAAATACGTTCGTTCAAAAACTCATTTGATTGTATTGATGAACTGGAGCGGGAAAACCTTTACTGAAATCCCCTGCTTTAACATCCTATACACATTATTAAAGTATTTTCAAAGAGGTTCGTGCCTAGAACACCTCTAAACGGGGTTAAATGGCGGTCTGCAATAACCTTCAGATTGATGACGTCAAAGAAATCTTTATTGAAAGCCTGAACTAGAAATAACTAATTATTTTCCTCGGCAAATTCAATATCCTGTGATATGCCTCTGTGTTTCGTGACTACACAATAAGCTGGCGATGTGATCCCAGAAATAAAAATCAGTGGCCATATAAAATTCAAATATTTGCGTACCGGTGAGTAAATGAAATTCATGTCCCAAAGCAACACCTGGACTTGGCAACAGGAATAAAGACATATTTGTTGATGTGGAATAAACTGTCGGCTTTGTCGCGTTACTGTGGGAATGCTTTTCAGCTTTACAAACATTTGACAGATGGTTATTGAGTGGTACGTGACTCTGTGTAGAAACAGGTCGGAGAAAGCTGAGAAAATAAATTTGTTCAAGAAATCGGTCTTTGAGTAACCTACCATAAAATCATGTTAGAATGCACAGCGTATATATTCTACCGGCTAGTATGCTCTTTCGGGGTGTTTATATGTCTAAAAAGCTTCTCCATTCGGTTCAAATTGAATTAATAGCCACGTCATTCAGTTACCACTCATAGATCAGATTGTCGAGAATTTTTTTTGGTAATAATTAAAAACTATTCTCCTTTTACATCACAATCTCAGCTTAGAAAAAGCCGCCGAGATCACTAACACTCACAATCTTTTTGGAGCTTGGGACTTTTGCTTTATTTGCTTTATTGTTTTCACCTTCCCCGTGTGGAGCTCTCTTTTAAAACATTTTCTTCCTAAGCCGTCCGTCTAATTTTAGTCAGGCTTCATTGGGTAAAATTTAAACTCGCACCCGCTGAATGCAGCTGTTATGGATGGACTTTTAACTACGTACCAGTCAAATCTATTTTGAAGAATGAATGTTTATGTGCTTGAAACCTCAGTTGTATAGGCCTACGCTAGACAAACTATGTGTAAATATCAAAGTCTTGACCTTTTTTGGCGACATTGTCGTTTACTTTGTCTTCATTATGACTCCATTTGAATATCCTTGTAGCGATTAAAAATATATAGGGCCTAAGCCGGAAAGTTGCTCATGAATTGCTTTTCCAGCGACTGCGGATGCACTTTTCCCAGCATGCACGGAGATGGGGCTCGTTGGCTCATCTCACCCACAATCATTCGCACTGATTGCCCGCTCTGGCCAAATGAGCACGTTCCAACCAATTTGCGGGTCCCGATTCAACCAATTTCTCCCCTGCCATGTCATTATCGTTTATAGGAAACGGAGAACGTGCGTCCGACACGTGTTTTTCCTACGCTGTGCGATGAGTAGCGCAATACGTTCGCTGGTTTACTGATTCCATGTGCAAAGTGGACAGCAGGAATTGTGTTAAGGATTAAGGGCCAGAACCCTATGAGAGCCTGCGTTCATACTGCCGAGATCCAAACTATAAACGCAGCAAAATCATGCAAATTTAGGGAGCAGACTGTGTGTTTAAAATGGTGATCTCACAATGGAAAATCTTCATGCGCACCGCACTGAAGTGTTAGCACGTCTACCAAAATATGCTTTAGGTTAGCACATTTTTAAGCTGAAGATAGCTCAATGACCATGCAGGTACATCATCAATTGGCCACAGTTCATCAGAACCAAAGATATTTGCCCTTGACCGCTCAATTTCGCTGATGATTAATTTTCAAGAGCATTACATAAGTATCCCTTCATTTATTTATTTATCTATTTATTTAGCAGTGGACATCAGGGTATGATTGGCATTTAAAGTAATCACGAAGTCATCCCTTTCAAGCGCAAAAGATTCAAACAATCTGCAAACTTAATTACCTCCCCAACTCCATCCCCCCCCCCCCCCCCCCCCCCCCGTTTTGGTGGAGTTTGGGGAACTTGGTCCTGCAGGCCTGGTTTGACTAAATATTGATGGAGTATGATGGACTTGGGCCTGGAGGCCTAAAGCAAATCATGCATTGGAAGCAGTGTGATTGATGGATTTTTGCGGACTTGGTCCAGTACTTAGTCAAAGACAGAAGGGAGATTAGGTTGAAAAAAAATCCAAACACATGTTTATTCTCATGAAGGGTAACCCAGAAACAATTCATACTCTTATCTGGACTGGATTTAGTGACGTCTGTAATGTCATTGCAATCTTAGAAATGGAAATTTAAAGAACAGTGTTTGATAAGAGTACATTCTAATCATAATAGGCCTACATGAACGTTGTTACGGGTAATATACATACGATTCATCTCAAAACGATAAGAAAAATTACTCACTTATCGTTGAAATAATGTTGATAAATTGGGGGTTTTGTTGATAATTGTATTATTTTGGGACTGACTGTTATCAACAAAGGAACACCGTTTGGATAAATATTGCCAATCATTAATAACTGTCCCCTGCACATAGTGTGTATTCTTGTGGCTGTTTGAATAGATAACTAAATTATGAACACGCGTGTTTCAACAGACAATTTAAATGTCAACACTGCGATTTTTTATTAAAAAATGAAATAGCACAAGACGCAGTCTCTATAATTACAGGCACGTCAATATTTCTAAGGTGGAACAATGCTATGTTAGAGACTGATATTTTAGGTAGCAATTTGTGCGTGATTCTAAACAAGACAATCACAGTATCCATAGAGAGGCACTGGTCTATAGTTTGTCATTATGATCATAATTATATTCGTTTGTATACGACTATCCACTCGCGGTATATCCAGACTGTTCCAATGTCGTACCCCTGTACCGTTTGAATGGAACAGCCCAGCACGTACGTGTATGCTCTACTCCCAGTGTGGTCAAGTTGAAAGCGCCGCCTTGTGTCCACATACCTTGTACTGTTGGTTCTAGTGAGGCTTGTTTGGTGTGATGCGTGCGCGTGTGTGCTGCCCACCTTTCATAAATAACCAGTGAATTAAGCGCACTCTGTCAGATTTTGCGCGGTCTGCCCGACCACAAGTTGTGTGATGAGCTGGCTGTGTTGTTTCAGTGGCTTCTATGATATTCACTTCAAACGGATTGTGTTGGTGTACCTGCTAAGAGGAATCAACTGAACTGTCCTTTTCTTACCTTTTCACAGGTTGGTAAGCGAGATGACGGCTGGTTGATAGCAATGGAAAAAGTGAGGTGATGTGATCGCGGACGCAAACTGTGTATCGAACAATCAGCGGCGTTGCATTCCTGTGGCGAGCCCATCAGCGATTGGTTTGTGTTTTTTAGCTGATGTCTCAACTCTGAAGATGGGCGATTCATGTGTTTCCTGCCCAAACGCAAAGTGGTGACGAACAACAACATCTTTATACGGAGACAAATCGTCTCCCGTCACAGACAGGGTAAAATCGACCATCTAGGTTTTTTCTTTATTACCGGTTACCAGTACTTCCGCCGTACCGGCAGCCAGCGGCTCGGCCGCGGCAGACGGCCCAGATGATGACCGGCTCACGGTGGATAGCCTCCCTTGCGGTTCTCTGGATCGTTACGCTAGAGACGCTTAGCCAGGACCCCACGCAGTCAACAGACTCACCCAGCGATCTCGAAGAGATACGCGTTGGATTACTAACCGCCGCCAAACCACCGACTGAAAGCGAATTCGTCAACCGGGAAGGCTTGGTAGTGAGCGGTGCTGCTAGCCTGGCTATAGAACACATCAACAGCAGGGATGACCTGCTACCTGACCATCGACTCGTCCTATCAAACATGTACGATACTAAAGGAACTGAAGTGGGGAGCATACAACTTCTCACCTCTCAGTGGTTGGAGGGTGTGGTAGCTTTCTTTGGACCCGATCAGACTTGCGCCACGGAAGCCCGGATAGCCACTGCGTGGAACCTGCCCATGATTTCTTACGTGAGTACCATTTTTGTAGTCTTGTCTCATAATGTTGTAATAATGGAGGTTTGCGCTGACACCACTTGGCAATAAGTATCTCTAATGAGTTATGAGTGATTCTAAGAAGGACATGTGTAAAGTCAACGTTTCGATCAGTACGCTCTATTCGTCTTCGGGAGAATGGTGTAATTTATAGTCACGTGGTGCTACCGCTAACTTGCACTTGTTGCTTGCCTCACCATTAAAACTTCTTCACATCGTATATAATAATGTTGCATTCTAAGAAGGGCAGATTGGCATTTAGTTTAAGAAGTCGTTGCACAGCACACCTGTCTCCTGAATATTCTAAAAATAGAAAGAGAAGCAGAAAATAGTGAAATTCCTTAATTCGTCAATCGTCTTTAACATGCCACTCGAAACATTTTTTCCTAAAATTATAATTGAAATCTTCGGCGTCAACAAGTCGTCATGAAGCCTCTCTGTGCAGCTCTGGTATGAGATTATCATTTCGTGAAAGCAAATTTAATCTCTCGATCAAGTGTAGACGCCTGTATTTCGATCGATCCTACTAGATTTGTTTGCACAACAACAAATCAAGGTTAAAGTTTAAAGAAGTCATTTTTTTGTAAAAAGATTGCAACAATTGAACGAGCTTCTACTTTAGCTGTAAGTTTGTTTTGAGCATAAACACGGTATCAACTGCATTTTTTGCCCGCAAGATGAAGCAAGCTGAATAGTATAGAAGATATGTTCTTTCGTAAAGCCAGTCACGGTTTTAAATGGACAGTGTGTCATTCCTTTATCTTTAGCTTGGCAAGATAACGTGTGGATGTTATTAGCGGAGTTTATGTACCGTAGCTTACAGGGAAATTCACTATTTATGATAAGGCCCTATACGCAATCGTATCTCGAATCTTGAATAGGCCTACTTCAAGTATATAATACAAGAAGGTCATATTTCAAGCGAATAGGTCCGACTGAACTTGAATCGATACTATTCTTGTGGCACATTTTTCACCCGTTTATGGGAATATGCATTAGAGAACTTGCTACCTTATATACACCGTATAAAGTCGCGATCTGCAGGAAAAATCAATCATGCCATTTTGCATATTGACTCGGTCAACATGATGCGGCACATATGAGACAGCGTATTGTTCAAATCTATGTCGTGTATATTCTTTTGTACCACACGTTCGAGATAAGACAACCACGAGTTGCTAGGGGACTTTTTATGTTGGTAGTCCATACTGGGGTACGTGTTTTAGTACCTTTTGTTACCATACCAAGTACGTTTGTCTAAGGGTCAGGAAGAATGAATGAAATTCAAGTTTAAAGCTCGTCTGCAAGCTGTCGTTAAATATAAACAAGGCTGCTGTTTTATATTCCTTACTCACGTCTACATTTATCACAACGTGTGGGCGCTGTAGTATTTAATGTTGGTACTTTGACCAAATGTCGTTACTGCGCGGAACGAGCGTGGAATGAAAATGAGGTTTATTACCGGTGACCAAGCGGTTAATGCACGGGTGTTGGGCCGCCAAGCGCGGCAGGCCAGGTGCGTTATGGCCCGCTAAATCGCTCAGTCAATGAGCCGTCTCGCGAAATACACCGGCCCCGGTAAACATAAAAACTCCGTTAGCGGAGTAATTATGCCAACTTGCCCGACAGAATTCAGACTTTGCCTCGCCGGTAGCACTTTTCGTTCGGTCGCCAGCTGGTGATATGTAAACGGAGCTTGTTTTATAACAAAGTAGCATTTTGCTTCTAGAACTGTGAGTGTATAATGCCAACTGGAACCTCCTAGATTGACTTTTACGATGTGTGCCAAATTTCATACTTCAAGTTCCGTTGAAATAATTTCAAAGTCTTCTGCGCCATGGCATGTAAGCTCTTATCTAACCTTAGAAGTATGCTCACCGCTTAGCACAGTATTTTCTTCTATAGTAAGCAGAGAATCTTCGCTTACAGTCTTCAGAAGAAATGTAAAATGGGCCAAGGTCAAGTTCAATCGTCGTCAAAATAAAAGGCTTCGTTAATACCTATGCCCTGATATTCGTTTCTGATGTCTGTGTTGGTCAAGTAGTTAAAACAAAAAGATACCACACAATGTACCACTTATTTGCGGTCTGGTTGCCCGGATGTATATCTTTTTTTTAAGAGGTGACCCCAAAAAAGTTGCATTGGAAATCGTTCAACCGGCACTTTGCAATGTTTTTTTTTCATTAACTGTGAAAATCACATTGGAACGGGTGAAAAACACATTGCCATTTATAATCTGTTGTATCTCTGGACTGCATGAATGGATCTTATCACATTTTCGATGTGATTATACACCAGAGTACAAACAATATACTTCATCAACATGAAATGCTGATGTTGGATACTTTTTGAGAAATTCAAAGATGTCTACTTGCACAACTTTTTTGGAGAGTCGCCCTGTTTATGACAGGCTTTTAAGGCGTTAAAAGCTATCATTTCCTAATACACGACAGTATTTACCTCTGAAGCAGCACAAAGCAATTGCAGACATTTTCTTCCTGTTTTACATGTAGTTCAAGTGTTTAACTGTAAAACCACGACTCGGCACCAATCTAACACCTCAATATTGGCGGAGCTACGGTTGAAGTATACAACTATACATGCAAACCTGTAAATCCATATTTAAATGGCTGAATTGTTGGTATATTCACCTCTTTAACATCACACCTGCAAATGTCACGATCCATATTTGCATTAGGTTGAAAGTGGTTTCAAGTTCCATTTTTGATCGTAGGCATGACACTGGAGGGATCTCGAACCAGCACTGCTGATCCATTTCACTATCAGATGTACGATATGCGAAGAGGCAAAATAAGGCCTGGCGTCAGAGGCCCGGAAATTCTGATTGCGTTTGCGTTCAATCTTGCTCTTATCAGCCCCTCAAAGGGGTTTCATGTTCACATGATTAATGTGAAGGTGTGAAGAAATCGCACATTGAATCAGTGAACGCTCGTTTGATGCAATTATATGTCAGATCGTTTCCCGAGTCGTGAGGCATACTGAAATATAAGAAGGACCTGTGTGAATTGAGTCCGTCTGCCAAGGGTTATATATGTTCACAGCTTTGAAAGTGATGTACAACATTTGAAAACATTAAAAAACAAAACTATCAACTTTGTTTTATGAACCTCACTTGACTCTAAGGGAATGATAGTCTCAAGCATCCTGTGAAATTATGGCATCTGCATGATATGCTGTCATTTTGAAGAAAAGTGGATTTTTTGTGTCAATCTCCAACAGGGCCAACAATCGTTTGGAAAAAAATGACTTTATTTTTTAAATACTGCCCCAAATTCACCAAATTTAGCCTTTGTAGTCCACATTTTGTTTGCAAACGGTTACACATCTGTGAAAGTACGCAAGCCAGCTAGACTGGTTCCCTGACCTGACAATTCCCTGACGTTCACAAATTGCTCCGTTTCGTCTGAAGTAGGTTGAGTGACAGACCAAAAACAGCATTTTTTCCCCCTTGGTTTTCCAGCACCCATAAACACAAAACTTGAAATAGGCCAGTTTAACAGTTTTTGTTATAAAATACTAACCCCCAAATCCGCCCTTGTCTGAAAACTACAGTAAAAGCAAATGTTGTATAAAAACCTTTAAATAAAGGTGTTCAAGATGTTTCAAAATCGCATTCAATCAGAGAAAACCTCATGGTTACATTTCTAGTCGCTTTTTGAGCCACAAACTATATCCTTGAATATTGGGAGGTGTAGTCTGAATCAAGCCAATACGTCGGATGTTGATGAGAACGGCACTTTGAATGACTAGAAAATATAAGTGTGATGTAGCAGCTGACGAGTGTCAACAAGAAAGGTACAAATATTCCCATAAAGTAACGGGCTCAAACTTGAGCCAAAGTCCGACTGCCAATTATATCTCTGTTTAGTAAACACGTTCAGTATACTTTCTTTGATTAAATTTCATTTATCTACCCGTAACTAAAAGCCCGGGTACACTGCGATCTTACTGGCTTGTTCACACTTTTTTATTTCAATATGCACTCGAAAACAGAGTGGTTGGACTATCGATGCAGTTCAAATGAGTACGATAGGTAAAGTATATTAGCGGTTATAGCGGGGAACAGATGTGGCGTGCATTTTTATCTAACCCAGAATGGCGTAATTGATTGTATTTCAAGTCACACGAAAATAATATCTTGATTCAGCATTGGAGGCATTTGCATTTGAATGGATCGCCAGTGTTGTCCGCGGTGTCTCTTAGCTATAGATCTTCATTTGATATACCTATGAACTTAGGGAACAAGCGCTTATGGATTGGCTTTCAGTGTTATGTGATTGTTGATTGATGACTGCATTTGATATTCTCAATTCTCAATACTCAATACCATGACTCTACGACAGAGATGGCTTTTTGATGGCAATAAAGTGCCCGTAAAGTATCCACGGTCCTCCCAAGTGGCCGAAAATCGTTTTAAGACTCACTTTTAAATCATTACTGACGACTGTTTCTTTGAGGGGGCAGGGGAACATTTATAAGAAGTGATCCCTCTCGAATGGAAACGAAAATGATTGCAAATCTGCCTGCGTCGCCAGTCACTTACGACCCTGTTGCTCTATCATAATATCAGCGTTCGTGGTGTGTAATAGACCTCGGCGATGGAAACAGCTTATTCCTTGCAGCGTTGCCACGGTAACGGCAGGCGAGGAGACAATCGGAGTTTCCGCTCAAGTGGGCAATTGCCAGACCCATTATTGAGAGGTACGTAGCGAAGACCGTGTTGCTTTTTACTGTCTCGTCTTTCCTCCGAGTATCTTTTGAGATGTTCTCTGACGTCGAGTGCAATCTGATGGGCAATTGCGTATATAAGACAATCAGAGGTGTGGAATTGACTATGACACTTGTGCTGTAAATTTATGAATAATGTTGAAGCAGCTTTCAGTTCGATAAGGCCTTCAACCTCCTCAGGCCTTCAGACCTAAAGGTTCAGCTATTCAACCACTAGAAACAAATTC